TTGATTACGGAGAAGGTATTTTTATTCCCCATTGCCTAGTTCCATCCCTTCTTCTTCCCAATAGTTACAGCCTGGTACAATTCTAGAAATAATGGCCAGGATGAGATTACATGCTCCTCAGTTTGGCATTTCCAGTTCTTTACTTCTCTCCTGGTTCTTTTTCCCACAATGTGCTAGAAAACAATCCTAGAGAAAAAACTGCTAGATAGAGTTCTACCTAGAGCCAATAAAATTTCTTAACTATTTTCTAATTCCAGATTAATTTTCTAAGACTACAGGTTCAACAGGAAGATAACACTGCTACCACATTCTACTATCTGTGTCAACAGGGATCCACTGGTCAACGGGCACCACAGCGAAAGCTGTACAGAAGAGAAGCATGACCTCCACGTCACCATGATTTACGGTTTCTCCTATGCAGTGCAAGACCATAACCTGAGAAAGCTACAACAGAGACTGTCACCATGGGGTGAACATGTGAAATGCTGCAGAGTGTGGGAGAGGGGACCACTTGTACACATTTAAAGACAGCAAACAGATAAAAGACAATCAACTTCCAGGTTTATGCTGTTTCTATTACCCCCTCAGTAGTCTCCCTAGGGCTGTCACTTTCATGGCAGCTATAAATACCTGGGTATGCTTAGAGAGGTCAGGGCTGAAGGGAGGACTCCATCCTGCTCGCTGTGAAGCTGGTGTGTGGTTTAATATAATCTCTTCTTTAGACTCTCCAATTCCTCCATCCTACATTTAGCCTTGCCTCTGGCTCCCGTTCCACAATGACTATCCCCAAACTGCCTTCTCTGCAGTAAATTTTCTGGTGGCTGGTTGAAAAAGATTCAGTGGTACAGATTGATTTCTCACCAGTGAAGGTATGAGAGATTACCAGAGGCACCCTGGTTAACAGAATCTCCATGAGACCAGCCCTCTCTGCCAGGGCTTTGCACCTTTTGCTCATGACATATGGGCTTCATTACAGAAAGAGTTTCTATATTATAACTTTGAGGCAATTGCCTGAAAATTTCTGTTTGGCTTTACTATAGGGAACAATGTAAAGGTTAAGCAACTTTTAATGAAATCGGAGAAACTCATGTTTGGTTTTCAATTTCAGTGCAAACTACTTTAAATATTTCTGTGCCTCGATATAATTAAAAACATTAGTGAGGTGGAATAGAGTTGCTTTCCGCTGGTTCTCTCACATCCAGAAGAGCAACAACAGGCTACCTTTAAGAGACTCTCATATGAGTGGCCAGGAAACAAAGGAGACAGCATAATTGTGAAAAGAGCCGACTTTTAGCATTAGACAGACTTGGATTTGAATCCCAGCTCCTACACTTAACTACCACTGTGGGCAAGTCACCCAAGTCATATTTCTAAGCTTTAGTTTCCTCATCTGTTCAAGATGGGATTAATACAAACGTCACGCAGGCATTCAGCCAATGTTAGCTACTGTACAATCATCTCTTTCATTTCAAACAAGAAGTTTATTTAAAAAACAAGATGCTTGATGGGAAAATTATCTAGGGTTCATTTCTTTTACAGAAATTTATCCCTATCTAAAGACATATTGCCTTGTATGTAACAGCTATGTACGAAAAAGTTATAAAATTGTCCTTGCTTTCACAATGATAAATGAAAAATGTTAAAAATTCTCCAGTTGAACAGGTATGCAAGGAATTTTTGTTGCTTTTGTTAAATGGTGAGAGCAAAATAACTTACTGGAATACGCAAG